GTGAAGCGTTGGGCTGAAGCACAGTGAATTTTATGACTACATGCTTGTGGGGCCTCCAAGGATAATTCGTCGGCTCCAGGGGCTTTTATTTCGGCATTGTTTCGATTGCGTGACGAACTTCTGATGGTAGAAACCATACAAGGAAGCGTCAGTGGCTTGGAGGCGTACAGCATGGAATCCCGACCTCTAAACCAGAATTCTAACATAGGAAGATAATGCTTAGCGCTTGATGCCATTCGGAAAGATCATCCACTGGGACTCGCCGACACCAAACTCCACTACCAGCACCGAAGCCTTGTGTACTCTGCGAACCTTATTGCTGCAGATCTACGAGAGAATCAACGGAAAGTCTACTTCCTTCAGGACAAAGCTCGCCCACACATTTCGGAGGAGGCTCAGAAGAAACTTCAAAGTTTGGGATGTCATGTTCTGGCCCAACTACTGCATTCACCAGACCTGGCTCAAACGTATTGTCACCTGCTGCTGTCCCTGTCAAACCATCTGACCAGTGAGAAATAAGAAAATCTAATCATGCGAAATTCTGATATGTGTAACATGGGTGTAATGTGAGTATTTACCACTGTTACCCTTATATCTGTTCGGTCATCTCATTCAGAAGTTCGCAAGCTTTTATCCGAATAAAATGAACAGCGTACAAGGTAAAAAGCTAATATTCTAGTGTTCTGTCAGGTAAGCTCCATCACTGTTGACGACCCTCTCCCAGCGTCCAGGTAGCATCTGGACACCAAGAAGCTTCTTTCCTTCAACAATTGCAGATAAAATGCTGTTGATGTCCATTTCGGCGATCGACCACTTGTCAAAGCGTTTGCCTTCGACATATCTTCATTTGACTGAAGCAGTTGAAGTTGCACAGCTGGAGGTCGGGAAAATACGGTGGTTGAATCCAGGTTTCAATATTCTTTTTTCAAAAAACTGCTGCACAGTTCGAGACGCGTGGGGCTTAGCATTGTCATGAGCGATAATTGCCTTCTTTGAATTGTGTGCTGCCATCCAATTGTCGATATTATCGTCGAGAAACTGGCAATACACTTCAGCAGTGACGGTCATTTTTTCACGACAGAGTCGCCATAACGCCGCGCCCCACAAACTCATTGCCATGATGAGCATCCGCTTGAAACCACGTAACTCTTCATGGACCAATTCGGGCGGTTCTTCATCGGCGTCCATCCAGAACCGACGTTTAAGACTTTCGGGCTCAGTGTACAAACCCATCCATGTTTCATCTATAGCCAATGTTCGCTTCAAGAGTCGTGTGTGCCGTCGGTGGCGGAGAAGATTGTTTCTACGGGCATCAATTCGGTTTTGGACCTGTGCTTCTGTGGGTAAATAAGGTACCCATACACACATCATCTTGATCATCTTCATTTCTTTGGACACAACTTGGCCAACGGTAGTAGCAGGAATGCCGGTCTCGCGGGCAAGTACGACAATGGTCCAATCTCTACGCTCAGCCATTCGACGCTTGATTTCAGCTACTCGTTCTTCGTGTTCGGAGTGAACGTTGTGAGCACCACCTCGGCCTTCATGTGTCTCCGTTCTTCCTTCTTTGAACACTTGCACCCATTTCTGCACATTACGCTTGAAGAACTCCGTCCCGTCCATTTGTTGACTGAGCTCACGATGAATTTGAGCGGCGGAGTTTCCTTGTATAACGCCCCATTTGATAATTTCGCGTTGATCTTGTTCGGTACTACTTCTTAATGCTTCAAACCACACACACGATAATTTCGGGAGATCAGATTATGACGAAAAATGGAAGCTATGATGGAAAGTAGTGCGATGAAGGCGAAGAAACTGCGTGAATCGGTGTTTCCATGTTGAAGAACGGCTTCGAAAAGTCGTTAACAAGGGGTCTGGGCGAGAATGAGACCAGAAAAATGAAGAAGAGTGGGGCGTCCGGACGAGCAAAACAGTGTGTTTCACTGCGCGCGTGTGGGTCCTGGTGCGAATAACAGACTAAGATAAGCAAAAATTCATTCACTTATAAGCACAAGTATACAAAAAAACCCAAGTAACAGCAAAAGTAGCTCATCTTTTTCGAACTCCAGGAGTAGGAAATTAAATAAGGGATCCCGGCAGCAAAAATAATAACAGAGGAAAAAAGAATGGGAGAAAAACATCACCTCATTACTCGGTGATCAGCTGATTGTGTTTGGGGTCCCATGTTGCAATCTGTATCGCCTCGACACTCGTCTGACGTGACATCCATACAGGGGCGGGAAGTCCGGGCGATCGGGTAACGGGGCGATATAGTTTAGAGTGCTGTTAATGGATACAGAAGTTAAAACTGTCAAATGAATACCCCTAAACGATTATGGGTGTTTGGAATTTGCTTGGAAATGGAGTCAGTTGAAATACGGCCATATCACGGCAAGCGTCCTCCTGGTGAAGAGATACTGCATACTCACCGTCAGGCGAAAGTTGGGAGTTTGCTCCCTGCCTTCGCCAAAATTTTTACACAGTGCGCCTTGTTGCCAGTGAAAGCTTTTATGAACTTTCTTGGTAGTCCTTCGAGCAAGCCCCTCATTTGAGCTATTGTTCAGCAGCATTGTGAGCTTCATCGATATGACATATCTTCATTCAGGGTTAATAGGGATCTCGAGTTACATGGGGATTCAAAGTTACATGGATATTTTCACTGGTCTTACGACACACTACAAGCAAGTCACTCACACTAGCTACGACCAAATAATTGAAATTTTGAATAATGTGGACGTGGAAAGATTGTATAAGAAAGAAAGGCTGTTTCTGCTGATTCTTATACACTGAGTAATAAAAACATGGGCAATGTGGACTTCTCATTATTTTGATTCACCGGGCATGTCAGTGTATTGTGAGCTATAAGACTTGTACTATTTGAATATACGATGCGAAAGTCCAGAAAAACCAGTCTTTCCAAAAACTTCGAGAAGCTTTTACATTTTTTTCTATTTTGAGAGGAAAGTTTTTTTTGCAACAAAAGTATGTAGACACCGGGTTGGATTCGACTACGGCGCTGAAATCCCGACACGCTTTTGGTAGTTTTTGGCCCAACTATTCTGCCGTCAAACTTATCCATGAAAAGCTTCTCTCTGAAGAAGAACAAGCGCAGATCAGGCCTCTCGGTGAGACTGGACAAGAACTTCAAAAGGAATGCAATGTCAATGAACTGTCGCCTATACAATCTTTTTTGCCTATCTTCCAACTTTATCATAGGCGTAAACGCGAACGTTGTGGCTTCTCTCAAAAATCAGTTTTGTTTATGAAGTGCGATATATTGCGACGGAAGCGTATAACGGAAAGCAAACTCCAAATCACCTTCTCTAAACAGGTCTTCAAAGTGGTGGTGTCGTTCAACCACCAAGCAATACCCAGACCTCTCAACTCGTCCCATGTTGGATTTGATTTTTGCAAACTAGGTATAGCGTTTAGTAATTCACTTTCAGTTGCTGAATGTTGAGCCCAAATAATGTCAGACGAAGGAAGACCATTCATCTGAACGATAAATGAATAGTTCCACCGCATAAAACCAAAGCCTCGGGTGATACCTTCAATTCCATTCTTTGGTTAATCGGTAAACACAAAAGAAGATACTCATATTGTTTCACCGCCATCAGAAACCGTAGTCCACATTCGTCCACTGTTTCTACACCGGAAGCAGCTGTTGCATGATGGCCTGCAAATCAGGTTGTTAAACACAAAGTTGAACGCCTTCTGAGAAGAAATGACACAGCCACAAAAGCTAATGATCGATTCACTTCCTTCCCAGTAGTTCAATCCTGCATTCATTTCCACGAAAACGAAGCATGCAAGCATGCCAGAGCTTATTCGCTGCATTCATTAAATTCGAAGTGAGGAGCACATGCAAATGAGTACATCGTAAGATTAAGAAATCGCACAAATCGCATGATTACAAAAATAAGCTTTTTGACTAGCTCTCGCAGAAGATTACGACCTACTTCTCTCCACGCCCGTGAAGTCACCCCATTTCCACATTGTTACACAAACGCCATGTCGTGGACCGGTAATCTTTCTTTGAAGAGAGATACAGCTCGATCAAAAGCCCCATTGCCGCAAAAAATATTTTCGAGCATCACAGCCCAACTTGGTAGAATTCTCTTCATTAATAGTTGACTATCACAGGAAATCGTAGTTCTGAGTGCGATAGAAGCCTTGATGAAGAAGCCTTCCGGTGTTGATCAATCCTGTTTCCACGATGCGCCCCGTATTCAACTTCTGGAACTGTAATGGTATATAAATGCGTATGTCGCCTATATGATGAAATGTGGGGGCCAGCCGCTGTACAAATCAGAGCTTCTATAATACTTTCCCAAAAGATTTTGGTAGCAGCTAATAGATCTCGGGGGATGGAGGGTTTAGTAAGCCTGACAGGGTGATGGTTGGAATTAGTTCCGCGAGCAATGGATGAACCATCTGCTACACCTGCGCCCCCTCCGCCACTATGACATTAGGCTGGCGACACGTTGATTTTCTATTGAACTGTTGACAAGTTTGCAATTTTATTTTTAAGTTGACAGGCACGACCACACGTTTACATTTCCACGCGTGTGCCATTGGAACCAGTGTGGTCCTGCAAAGTATTTAAACAAGCCTGTCACAAACACAATATTTTGGACATACCAACGCAGCGATCCGGTCTACGAAATTCAGTCTACAGGGTAGCAGGCAGATATAGGAGTGGTGTTATTCATAATAAGTTCCCAATGAGCAATAACGGTCACCTACTTCTCTCGCAGCTCCGAGATAGGTCCTCCTTTTCGAGGCCAATAGTGTCGCCCTCGGCATGCCGTTCAAGTATCATATCTTACACGTATCTTAATGTACACGAGACTGATTAACTCCTGAAGCTTCTGATGCTCGTGATGGGAAATCGGCTATCGGCATAATGAGACTTCACAGATGATAACGCTATCATGCATGTAAAAAGAAAAAGTGAACTTTAACCGAGGAGCTTCTGACCAAGGAGACGGCGAATAAGAATGCTCGAGTGAAGGTGCCATCGAGTACGATTAGTTTGCCTTTGCTGTTTTTTGATTCTCTGATAGATCTTGCTGACTTGGAGCACCGGCTTCCTTCAAGCTTTCAATTGCTAACGCTTATAATGAATATTAAGAGATACGGCAGTAAGAGATAGATTCGAATTGAAACACTGAACAGATTCCACATTACAGAAAACCAGACTGTTGATCGGCATTTTGAGGCTTACACAACTCGAAATACTCTGTCCGCTACTAGCTTGTCATGAGGCGACTAAGTTCAGCGTGTTCCATTCCTATGTTACCGGATGCGTGTTGGGATTGAAGGCGCAGTTAACGATAATTTCAGTTTAGGGATGACCATCTGTCAACGACTAATGAAACTAGTGCAAAGGTAAGAAAAATAACGAGAAAAACGAGGCGTATCGAGAAAGATACAAGTTAAAAAAATATAGCAAAATTAGGGGCTGGACCAGATTGTGACGTCAATTGCTGCAAGGAAGGGGTATTTCGACGAACTGTCCACAATTGGTGCAGTTGCGAACAGTTGCTTCTACTTTCTTTGCTATACTCTTCCATTATACTGTTATTAAGGTGTCCGGAATAGTTGAGAAAATTATGCCTCTCAACTGTGAAAGCATGTCGCTCCCGAACGCGCTTGAGAAGGGTTATAGATTCGATGGCAGGGAAGGGCATAGTTGGTAGATCAATACTACGGTAGATCGGTCGATGGGCGCAAATTGCACGGTTGTTTCCTCTAGAGAATGGAAAAACGTGAGAAAATGAGAAAGGCGATCTCCACTCCCCAATCCATCACACACGACGTCCTATGCAAAAGTCACTTCCGAAGCAGGACTCTTTGCGAATACCGTACCTTCCTTAACTGAGCACAAGCGCCAAGTGCGAGTCAGTGTGTTAGAAGATCCTCGACTGTATGCAAACGACGACTTTAATTAAGCGACTTCATTATTGCTCAGGATAAAAGTAGACGTCATATGAAAATCCACACAGGAAATCGCAAAGCTCACCAGTGGGCGTAAGGCCACAGGAAGCGAGGCATCCCCGCAAAGGTGGACATGAACTCATTACTGCTGTGCTCACTAGGGTGTTTTGCTACGGATTTCTCCAGAGCGTTCAGCGATTAACGCAAGAGTATTTCGTTAACAACTGAGAGAGATGTTGTATCGACTCTCATTTCACGAAGATTACAAGGATGTTCGATTGTGATGGATAATGCTCGACCACTTCACGCGAGGAGGCCATGGATCAGCTGAAGACTCGGCATAACCTGCATACCCCGATCCCCACATATTCATCTGACCTTCCATCGGCCACACTTCCAGAAGCCCATAGGCCTGCTCTAAAGAGAGAAATTCAACAATCGTCAAGAAGTCAAGCAGGTAGTAGATAAATGGATCGCATCGCGCCTCTCTTCTTTTCAGAGAAATGGCATCACTGCCTGTTTGGTTGGTGGAGAGGCATTGTGGCCAAGAAGAACCGCTGTCTTGACCACTTATCTAACTTTATTGTTGTAATTGTTTGTGTTGAGAAAACCAACTGAATCTTCTGAAAACTTTCTGGACACATTAATAATATTCAGTGGCATTTTGACCTTCTATGCATTTATTGGATAGAAAAAGTAAGTCAAAATTGTTTACATCAGTATTTCCATTGAAATATGCATTTACGAATATATTTTTGAATTTCTTAGTTCATTTCTTTTGTATGTTCTATGTTGAGACATTCTTTATTGGAGGGTCGTTGATGTGTTAACAATACTCTCCGACCCTGCTGTGAAGAGTGTTTGCTTTTCAACGCCTTTTTCTACAAGCTTCGATGCCCATCACATCGAACAAGTCGGATAAGCTGCAAGCAAAAGTTGCAATTACTTTTTTTGCGTAGAGTGCATGCCCTTCATATTGGGCCATTTCAATAACTGTAATTTGCTGGAACATAATATTAGCATCTCACCCCAATACCGTGAAATAGAACGCCTTGAAGGCTTTGGTACAGTGCTGAAAACATAGCAATATCGATTGGCTTGATCACTACCACGCCGTCCGTCAATGAGGAACAAATCTTAACGAGCATGCCAAGAGGAAAAATAGCGTTACCCGAACGTCATAGCTGGAAAGAATCGTATGATCGACATTAGAAAACATTAGAAATGACAGAAAGAAATCTGGAGAATATGGCACAAAAGATCATGTGACAAATAAAGAAGGATCCTTTTGCGATTCTCATGTAAAATGCAATATTTTAGACAATCAAAGCGATAACGAGACTGGAAAAGCCCCATGGCTTTTGACTCAAGCTTGTAACCCATGCAAGACCAAGTGGGGATAGTGCTTTTACCCGTAACTTCTGGAGGGACCGTTATGTTTTCAAACACTTCTGATCACGGGAGCGGAGGGCGTATGAGACGGTCGCAGTAATGTACTCACTGTGATCTTTCACATACGAATGGAGGACCAAATTGTGAACGAATGACCTCACTGGCCGCTTTCATAGACCGTATAGTGGTCTGTGAAAGCAGCCCGTGAGGTCAGCCAAGTGAAAACGCCCATACATTCATTCCACGTACATGCATTTTCATCACCGTACTGGAAGAAAACGTCGCTCGCGAAAACATTTTTGTGCAAACTGAATCAGTACCCGCAAGAATCTGTTTTTTCGACGTCACAGGTTGGCCTAATCGTAGCCCTAAATCTCTTCATCACCGTGTTACATGAGTCAATTTCATACTACAAAACACAAAGGAATAGCCAGCAAGATTTTTCGGCTCAACCCACTCAATAAAAACAGACCCAGATCTACTATTTTTTTTCTGCGGTTGAGATCAACGTAAAAACTGCCTCCCCTTTCCTGCTGCGCTGTGCCAATTGACAGCCTGCGCCTCCGCCCCGCAGCCTTATCCATGCACTCGTATTTGGTGAATTTAGGGGTGTGCGATTCATACGCTGCATGTAGGCTAGGCCACAAGCTTGAATTACGCCTAGCAACTGTATATCACCAAGTTCAGCATCAGATGAACAAAAGATACGTTAGAATTCTAAGTACAGATACTGCCCACCACACAAACCTCCAATCATAAAATGTGTTCGCGAAGGTTCGCGATTGGCTCTAAGGTGTACCCCAACAAATTCTTAAGAATTGACAAAGAAAACTATGGATGAGATCGCATCAATTCAATCCAGCTTCGATCTGCTCCTATTAACCCATTGACGACCACGGCGTTTTGCGGGAAAACGCCGCAAGGGACAGGCGCGCTCTTGTCCACCCGAGACTGCAGCCCACATGTGGACGTCATGGTCCAGCATGACCATCTTTTGAAGTTTATAAGAGAAAATTATAAGTTTTTAGGAATGTTCCTTCGAATGGGTTTGGTAAGAATGCCCACATTGAGTGATTATTGATC